CGGTAATCTCAGTGTTTCAGCAGCCGTATAGTATCAGTTTTAGAAACCACTAAAAATTTGCTTTTTTGTGCCATACTGTTTTTCTTCTATCGGCCAAAAGAACAAATAAATAAATGAATAAGAAAGTAATTCCACACTTTAAGTAAAAGTGCTCTATTAACAGCTTCTTTTATTAACAACCTTTGTTTTGAGGAAAGCTCCATCACTTAATTTCTTCAGATGTATACGCTGGCGTAACTGTTTTTGCTACATTACTTGTACACTCTTTAATCAATATAATTTAGAATTAGACAGACAATTAAAAGTACTGCATTTTGGCTTTTTAAGGACTTCACCTGCATTGATTATCCCGAAATCCGGTGTAAGCCACAACCGAAATGTGAAGTGACAACAGAAAATCAATTTCTGAACAGTATGCGCTGACACTGTTCAATCGGCTCTATTATCAATACAACTACCTTTAGTTTGAATCCTCGCAGGAAACGCTCCTTCCAGTTTCTTTACTCTTGTGCGGGCAAATTAATAAAGAAAGCTGTAAGATAAAGAATGATGGTCAGATCCATCAACCTCTACAATTGCTCTCTAATTCAGTTATAAAAGTCATACGCCACTGCGGATAAGCACATCAGTGAGGCAAAAAAAAAAAAAAAGGTGAAGATCGTTTAATGCTAAAAAGTCTAATCAAACTAACCTTCACAGTTCCCACTCTTTAGCCCTCTCTCTTTTCAAAGCTCCCTCGTCAAAGAAAATGTTAAATATTTAACTAAGTTAGCTTTGTCGCATAGTGATAGATTAAGCGACACTGTTCGTAAAGCTATTTCCTGTTGATCATTCACACACAAATATCTTTAGCATTCACTACTCTGAGAGTAAATTTTTAAGCTGTTAATGAGCATACAATAATCTGTGCAGCAGCGAAATGCCTATACAAGGCAATGAGATTTTCAAGCTTTTTTTTTTTTTTAGACTTTTTAACATTAAACGATCTTTTAGCTATTGTTTTTGCCTTACTCTTTGTTTTTTTGCTTTGTTACTGCTAACTAGAAGGGGAATGGTCGCGAACTGTGGCTGATGCAACTGTAGAAATTAAAAACGGAGCTCCGTGAAAGGTGAAGCTAATTGAGAAAGACTTTTTCCCTCATCAGCTTCTTAATCGGTTGTTTGTTTGCCTATGGACATTGTTCGAGAGGAAAAAAGTAAGAAGAGGAAAGAGAAATTTTTTTTTTGATTTTAAAGAATAGTTGTAGAAGATCTAACAGAGGAATAGGTCTTTTTTTTATTTTTTGACTTCAGCAGTAATATAGAACCAAAAGAAACAGAAACAGGAACAGAAGAACAACAATTGACATTTTGTCGGCCTTACACAGATGGTTGACGATTGTGATGCATATAGGTACAGTTAAAAAATGTGATGCAAATTTTTTTTTGTCACTATCATCATCATCGTCACCATCACTGTATCAATAGACCAAATATTGTATTTTGCTTGGGTATTAGATCAATTATGGTATTTGAAGATCGTATACTAAGGGCCTTCAAAAATACCGCCTTGGCTCAGCTATAAAAGGGAGGTTTTTTTGCCCGGTCAACTCAGTTCGCCTTTTGATTTGTAATGTCTTGTATTAGCGTCTCATTTTTTGGCAAACAAAGATCTGTTCTGTCTTACTACGAAGCTTTTTAGGGAGCTGAGCTTGTTCATCAGTTTGGAGGCTTTGGAGGAGAGGAGCTAAATCGCTGAAAATGGCTGAGAGTTTCACCAATGGCATCTCCTATCTTACGGTATGCATTTTTCTTGTGTTAGATATTCAAAGTTAGTGCTTTTTTACCGTCACGAGCAGTTTCGGACCGCAGGTGTAAAAAATAAGTAATTAAGCTTTGTTCTTCTCCTTAATGTAGTGACTTTTCTGTCGGAGTTTAAGTGACTGAGTTCTTTAAGGACATTTTAGTTTGCGTATTTTTCCATTGGTTCGTAGCCATTAAGGAGTGATTTTTCAATAGATTCAAAAGGACCTCATTGCCAATCCGGCGATGCAGGGAGAGTGGTCGAAGAAAAAGCTGGTATGGATACCTCATGAAACTAAAGGGTTTGTAGCTGGGTCAATGAAGGAGGATCGAGGCGATGATGTGGTAGTTGAAG